GGGCCTCCCCAGCCGCGCCCAGTGCCCCCTCCGCCCCGACGATTTTATTTTTCGCGACGCACCCCTCCCCCCCCCAGTGGGACCTCCCCAGCGCCCCCCAGTGGTCCCCAGCGCCCCCCAGTCGGGCCTCCCCAGCCGCGCCCAGTGCCCCCTCCGCCCCGACGATTTTATTTTTCGCGACGCGCTCCCCAGTGGTCCCCAGCGCCCCCCATTGGGCCTCCCCAGCCGCGCCCAGTGCCCCCCCGCCCCGAGGTTCTATTTTGCGCGACCCCCCCCTGCCCCCCAGTGGACCCTCCCCAGCGACCAGTTGCCCCCAGCGCCCCCCCAGTGGGGCCTCCCCAGCCGCGCCCAGTGCCCCCTCCGCCCCGACGATTTTATTTTTCGCGACGCACCCCTCCCCCCCCCAGTGGGACCTCCCCAGCGCCCCCCAGTGGTCCCCAGCGCACCCAAGTGGCGCCTCCCCAACCGCGCCCAGTGCCCCCTCCGCCCCGACGATTTTATGTTTTCGCGACGCACCCCTCCCCCCCCCCAGTGGGACCTCCCCAGCGCCCCCCAGTGGTCCCCAGCGCACCCCAGTGGGGCCTCCCCCCAGCCGCGCCCAGTGCCCTCTCCGCCCCGACGATTTTATGTTTCGCGACGCACCCCTCCCCCCCCCAGTGGGACCTCCCCAGCGCCCCCCAGTGGTCCCCAGCGCCGCCCAGTGGGGCCTCCCCAGCCGCGCCCCTGAGAATACACCCGACAGACTGTGTGCAAAACGCCTGCCGTAGACAAGCGTTCCCAGCACAAGGCCGCAACGCACTTTGCACCGCGAGCCTCCAACAGCTAGGTCACCAGAGTAATTTCTTCCGGCCCTCCTTGGACCCTGGAGGCCTCCTCTTGAAACCCTCTGTAGGCTTCTCGGGTGTCTGTTGGAGGCTTCCTGGGAACCTGTTGAAGGTCTTTGGGTCCATCTTGCGGGGGGCGCCCCTTGACGTCTCTTCGAGCTCGCCCTCTGAACCTCCTCTTGCGGCCCTGTTTGTTCACTCCTTCTGCGATGTCTTGCCCCCTCTTCCCCCCTCCTCCTCCACCTCCTCCTCCTCCCCTTCCTTTTTGTGCAAGAGCCATGGCACACGTGCCACTTGTTTTTTATCATTAGTATTAATATTATTAGTATTATTAGTATTATTAAGTTTAGTAGTAGTCGTAGTAGTAGTAGTCGTCGTCGTCGTCGTCGTCGTCGTCGTCCGTCGTCGTCGTCGTCGTCGTCGTCGTCGTCGTCGTCGTCGTCGTCGTCGTCGTCGTCGTCGTCGTCGTCGTCGTAGTAGTAGTAGTAGTAGTAGTAGTAGTAGTAGTAGCAGCAGCAGCAGCAGCAGTAGTAGTAGTAGTAGTAGTAGTAGTAGTAGTACGACTACTACTACTATTATTAATAATATCCGTATTGTTACTATTATGATTATTTCTATTATTTCTATTATTTCTACTAATTATATTATTGGTTTTATTTGTATTATTTGTATTCGTAATATTATTAGTGGCATTACGAGCATTATCATTATTACTACCAATTTTAGTATTATTAGTATGTTGTGTATGTATTAGTATTATGAATATCAATATTATTTTCATTATTATTAGTATTATTACTATTATTCGTATTATTCATATTCATATGCTTATTATTATTATTATTAATAATATTATTCATAGTCTTGTTATTCTTACTATTATTATTATCATCATCCTTATCATTATTATTATTATTCGTCTTTTCTTCTTCACCAGCTGGCCGCTCATCCAGACGTCGGCCGGGAAGTTCATGAGCCGTTGGATCCGCTCCCCAAGAGGACCGACGACGCTGAGCCTCGCCCGCGGCGAGCCGGGCCGCCAGCGCCGAGAGCTGGACGTCCGCCGCGTCCTCGGAGTCCCTGGGCAGGCGCCCAGCCTCCGCACGCAGCTCGCCCTGAATCCCTCCAGCTTCGGGGCGGGGAGCCTCGTGAGCTCGACCCCTGGCCGATGGCGCCGCTCCCCTCCGCACACCTCGGGCTGCTGCGCTGGCGCCGCCGCCTCGGCCTGCGGCGCCCGCGGGGGGCCCCTGGCGGACCGCGGCCGCCTCCGCCGCCTCCGCCGGACCCCTCCCGCGGCGGACCGCGGGGAGGGCAGACCCCGCCGCCTCCGCCGGACCCCGCGGCGAGCCGCGGGCGACGGTGGAGATGCCGACGCCCTCCCCGGTCCTGGCCGGCCGCGGCGCCTCGCGCAGAGCGCCGTCGAGGCCGCGGTGCACGACGCTCACGGTGGTGCTCCTTCCCGCGCGCCCCCGAGCGCTTCCAGGGTGAGAGGCCCGAGGACGGCCTCAGCGGGAGCCCGGCCGCGCGGCGGCGGCGCCGACAGCGAGGGCCACCGAGGCGCGGTCGTCGCCACAGCAGGCGCGCCGCCCGCCACGCCTGGCCCCCTCGAACCCCTCCTCCTCCTCCCCTCTCCTCCTCTTTCCTCCTCCTCCTCCTCCCCCCTCCTCCTCCTCCTCCTCCTCCTCCTCCTCCTCCTCCTCCTCCTCCTCCTCCTCCTCCTCCTCCTCCTCTTCCTCCTCCGGGACCGCCCCGCACGGCACCGCCCCACCCGCCGTGCGGGGCGGTCCCGCGAAGCGCGCTGCGGGGCTCTCCGCGCCGGGCGCGGCAGGCGGCAAGAGGCCCACGGCAGCGCGCGGGGGGCGGGGCACTGCTGGCAGCGAGCTGCAGGCTGCGCTGCGTCTTCGGTGGGCCTCGCCTGTCCCCGAAAACTGGGTGTCTTTTCCTGCTGCCCGGCGCGGGCTCGATGCGGACTCGACGCGGATTGGGCGGGGCTTCGACGCAGATTCGGCACGGCTTCGGCACGGATCCGACGAGGCCGACGTAGGTTCGACACGGATTCGACGCGGATGGGGCCGCGACGGGACCGACAAGGTCCCCCGAGGATGCGACATAATATAGGGTGCCCCGGTAACCTGAGGCGACTCTCACGTTTCGCATCTCGCCGGCTTAAGCCAAAACGGCTGGGTCCGGCGAAGACCAGCGAGACGCCGACCCGAGCCCTCCACCCCACCGGATCAGAGCTAAGAAATTGCTGCACACGTCCTGCATGCCACTAGCTGCGATCATCCGCCAAAGCACACGCAGGTTTGCTTCCAGCCCCCGTCGCCCCCCCATTTCAACGTTCAGCGACGCGCGCAACGAGGCCCGCGGGGCCCGAGGAAAGATATAAGTCGCCAGTCTCGGCGCGAGCGCTGGGGTTGGGGGTCCGCGGGCGGCGCAGGGTGGAGGGAAAAATGCATGCGTTTGATTTCGCGGAGGGTTGTAGTCCCCAAGAGGCCCCCGAGAGGCCCCAAGGCACCCAAAACAATGTCACAGGATGGGTCAAAAAGCCGCTAGATCTGCCGCCCCTGGTTGCTTTATCATAAGGGTGCCTGGCGCACTGGATGTTTGAATGCTTGTAATTTGTTTCACGGGTCCCCACCAGCCTTGTAAGCCCAGCCCGTTGGCCATCCGGAAAGCTGCGGAAATCTCCCAAGGCGTCGGTCTTCCCGCTCAGGACGGCCCGAAGAGATCCTCCGAGACGGTCAAGACGGGCCCCCAAAGAGCCAAAGATGGCCTCAAGATGTCTCCAAGACGGCCCACGATGCACCTCAGACGGCCCGACGATGGCCCAGAAGGCCTCCAAGACGCCGCAAGAAGGCTGCACGATGATCTTCAAAATCATAGTCAACGCCTCGGCTTCACAGAAGAAATTCTGAGCTTGGCGTTCTCGCCTCTTCGGGCGTCCGCTGCTCTAAGACGGCCCCGTAGAACCCCATTGTGTCTACGCGAGGTAGGCTCGAGGCGTCTCAAGGTGTACGTCTCAAGGCCCCTAACATCGCTCCAAGACGGCCAAAGAGGCCTCCGAGAGGCCCGCAATACGGCCCAACAGGCTCCCATGACGGCCCAAGAGGCCGGCTCCAAGACGGCCCCACAGACATCCACTCCAAGACGGCCCTACAGCGCTCAAAGAGGGACCCACGACTGCCCAAAGAGGACCCCAAGACGGCCTCTCCGAAGGCCAGGAGGTCCCTTAGAGGCTCCCAGAGGCCCCAACGAGGCCCCCAAGAGGCCCCCAAGAGGCCCTTCAGAGGCTCCCAGGAAGCCTCCAGGAGGCCCCAAGAGGGACGAAAGAGGCCTCCTCTTCCTCCTCCCCCTCCCCCTCCCCCTCCTCCTCCTCCTCCTCCTCCTCCTCCTCCTCCTCCTCCTCCTTCTCCTCCGTTCTTTTCCCCTCCCAAGCTTGACCAGACTTTAGCACAACGCTTGGCCGCATGGGCGCTTCCACAAGGCAGGTGGCGGCGGTGGTTCGCCGTGGGCGCCTTCGAGAAAGCACTCCTCCTGCAACTGCTCCTCATCATACCTTTCCCTGGCCTGGAGGGATTGAAAGATACCGCTGCCGCTGCCCCCCCCGGGCCTCTCTCGGGGCGCGTCCTGACCAGGACTCCGAGGCGAATCCAGCCTGGCCGACGAGGGAGGCACAGCAAGGCGAACACGGGGAGGAGGGTCGGAGATCTTCTGACCCGGGTCAATCCAGACCCGGGTCAGCCAGGCCTTGCAGAATCCTGCAAGATCCTGCGCCCAAGCCCAGGTCAACGCGAAGCATCCTGCAAGACCCTGCAGGATCCTGCACCCCAGCCCAGGTCAGTGCGACCCTGGCCCCGCAGGGGCCTGCAAGAGCGGGCGCTCTGGCTGACCCCCGTTTGCATTGACCCCCGCCTCAAGCCCAAAGATCCGACGTCGTGATTTTTTCAATACGGGCCCCCCGGAGGTCTCGACCCGTTCCCCGGGACCGGTTTTTCATCCTGAGTCGTTTTTTGACGGTCCCGGGGCCCGGCGAGGGCCCCTTGAGGCCGAAAATTGTGAAAAACCTCCGTCTTGATTTTTTCAGTACGTTGGATCTCTGAGAGGATCCCGGGGGGGGGGGGGCCCTCGGCACCGGCATGCCCTCTCCCTCCCCGGGCGCCCGCCGCGGGCCGCCTTGAGCTCCGCCAGGGCCAACAGGATCTCCGCGGAGCCCGCCGGCGCCGCCGGCTGCTCGCCCCGCGCGCTCCCGCGGGACCCCCGCCGGCCCGGGGCCTCCGCGCAGGCCTCGCCCGCGGGCGACCTGCGCGGCGGCTGCGGGGGGCGCCGCCGCGCGCGAGGCCCTCGCTCGACGAGGAGAGGAGGGGGGGGCAAAGCTTGGAAGGGCGAGGGGGGGGGGAGGGGGGAGGGGGGGGGGAGAGGGAGGGGGGGGGCAGAGGGGAGGGGGGGGGGCAAGCGGAGGGGAATGGAGGAAGGGGAGACGGGGGGAGCGGGAAGGCGGAGGGCCATGGGGCGGAGGACGGGGAGGGGGGAGGAGAAGAGGGGGAGGGCGAGGGAGGGGAGGGGGGGAGGGGGGTCAGGTGGAGGCAAAGGGGGAGGGAAGAAGGGCGAGTAGGGAGCGGGGGCAAGCTGTAGGTGCGCCCGCTCCCCGATATCTGACATCGACATCCCCCCCTTCCCCCATCCCATCCCTTCCCATTGCGCTGAATTGTTGTTCTCTCTTTTTCTGTTGTTAGTTATGTTTTCATGATCTCTCTCTCTCTCTCTGTCTCTCTCTCTCTCTCCTTCCCTCTCTTTCTCTCTCTCTCTCTCTTTATTTCCCTCTCTCTCTTTCTCTCTCTCTCTCTCTCTCTTTCTCTCTTTATTGTTCTCTCTCTCTCTCTCTATCTCTTTCCGCCAGTGGGAGCCCTAGCGGACCTGGATTCCCCAAAATGGCCCCCATCGTGTTACGCGCAATCGGAGAGGAGAGCTCAGTGCACCTGGAGAGGAGGGGTACAGAGGTGGCGGACGAGAGTGCCGCGGAGGAGCAGGAAGAGCGGGAGGAGGCTGCGCGGACTGCCCAGAAACCCACAGCAGCGTGCCAGCCTGGCCTCGACCGAAATCTCACTTTTCCCATACACCTCTCACGTCCTTTCCGACATGTACTCTTCCACTCTGTTTCGACTAGGTCGTGTTCCCTTCCCCAGGACACCACGACCTCTACGTCGACCAACCCAGATTGTCATCAGCGCGAACTAGAACGTCGAGCTGCTGCACGGGTGCTATCACGAGTCGCATCCGCACAATCTCTACTCGATCAGCACACGCGGTATCATCTCCACGGTTCACAAGAACTACTCCAGGCTCACCACAGCGCACAACAACCACCGCGACATCCACCTCAAACTATCAAACATCGTTAGACTGTATCTGCATCTTGCAAGCGTCCATTGCCATTGACGTTCCCTCGGTGACATGCCCATCACGTCTTCAAGCCAGCGTAAGTCGCCGGCCCAACGGGCCAGAGGCGTGCTAAGATCTACGTACGGTAGCTGGTTTCGAATAGCTCTACTTCGCACGCGCGGGGCCGCTCCTAGGAGTCCCCAGACGAGAAGTACCCCGAGCACTGCGCCCACAACCTTGACTCAGAGATGATTCGCCTCTGTGCGTAATTAGCCTGCGGGGCTCCCGAGCGGTCCAAGGAGCCTCCAGGAGAGCTCAAATGAGCCCAAGATGGTCCAGGACGGCCAAAGAGCGCTCAAAGCCGCCCAAGATGATCTCTGGATGGCCCGAGACGCCTCCGAAACGCCTCAAGAGAGCCCCACGAGAGACCTCAAGACGGCCCCGAGGGGTACAAATCGTTGATTCTCACCTCAAGACGGCCCAGGAGGCCCCCATGTCGCCCCAAGGCAGAGCCAGAGGCTCCCAGGAGGGCCCCAACACGACCCAAGAGGCCCCCTTATGGGGGACTCCAGCGGCCTCCAAGAGGGCCACAAGAGGGGAATCCGAACTGTCATGTGGAGCCCTTTCCCTGCCCTCTAGGGCAATCATCGCCCCCCCTTGGATCCGCTGGGGGGGTTGCGCAGGTGTTGTCGGAACGTGTGGAGGCGGGGGAGGAGGAGGAGGAGTAGAAGGAGGGGGAGGAAGAGGAGGAGGAGGAGGAGGAGGAGGAGGAGGAGGAGGAGGAGGAGGAGGAGGAGGAGGAGGAGGAGGAGGAGGATGAGGAGGAGGAGGCGGTTAGGAGGAGGGAGGATGAGGAGGAGGAGGAGGAGGAGGAGGAGGAGGAGAGGGGGGGATGGGCAAGCTCCGTCGGAAGGTTAGTCGCCCACCCCTCGACTAATATCCCACCCAGAATGTAAAATGGCCCCCGAGACCGTCAGCAGGCCCCCAAGGGGCCCCCGAGGCCCCAAGACACCCCCGAGAGGCCCGAAGAGGCCCCCCAAGAGGCCCCCAAAACGCCGCCGAGGCCCACGAGGGGCCTCCCAACAGAAACCACAACAAGCCTTCCAACAATGAGGGGGCGAAGAATGGTACAAAATAGACTTTTCCGCCATCGAGGACGCCTGTCCCAGGGCGGCTGGAAAGTTTATACCCCAACGGTGCCACGTAGGGATGTGAAGTTGTCAGCCGCCCGGGGGGCAGGCGTCCCCGACGGCGGAAAAAATATGTGATACCGTTCTTCGCCCGCTAAAACAGGGCCTCTTGTTCATGACCCGGTCTGGCCGAAACTGAGCACCACATGTAGTGTGGGCTGGCGGAATGAGCGGAGCGATCCGCCGCCCCACTGGGTACGGCGTGTGAGATCCCCGCCGTGTGTTCTGCAGGGACTGCTCCCCCTCAGTCGTCTTACCCGCGCACTCCTGGTACCCACACCTCTCCAAAGAACCCTCGCAGTCCCTGCTGGGGTCCTCCCCGCGGCCTGCTCATTCCGCCAGCCCGGGACCCCAGCTGCACAACGGGCGTCCGTTGGCCGCCCTTCTGCCCTCAACTGCAGCAAGCCTTCGCACGGGAGACTCCTGAACGCCTGCGGGCGCCAATCGGGACATCTCCAGAAGCCCTCCCGGGCACTCTTCGAAGCCTCTCGGGACCCTCTTGGGCTCATTAGGCCCGTCGCCGGGGCCCTCTGGAGCCGTCTCGGACCCTTCGGGAGCCCTGTTCAAAGCATGTTGGGCCGAAAATCCGAGGATGCCCAAACCCTTCAAACACCCAATGGATTTGGATGATTTTCGCCTTGTCGGGCTTCTCTTCGCGCCTCTTGGAGCTCTCATGGAGCCTCTTGTGGCACTTTTGGGGCCTCTCTGGCCACGTCGGAAAATATCCTAGGCCTCTCGAGCCGTCCTGAAGGCCTCTCGGTCCCATCTTGGGCCGCCTGGCCTTTGGCCGCCCTTTTGGATCCCAATTGATGCGTCGTTTTTGTCGGACTCTCTTAGGGGCCCTCTCGGGCCCTCCTGGGGCGTTTTTGGCGTTTGGGGGGGCCAGCTTGGGCCGTCTCGCCCTCTGGGATCATTTAAATTGCCCTCCTCGTCCTCCACCAGGCCTACCAAAATCCCCACGCGTCCAAAACCCGTTGAGCGTCGGTGTCTCCCCCCTCAGGGGCGTTCAATTCGATAACTTCGGCAACAACTCTTGGGCGAAATCGTACCGGACTTTGCAGAATACTTTCAGGGGGGCGTACGACCCGGGTACAAGGGACTCGGAAATCCCCGACGAGGTCGTCCAAAAAATGACGAGACCGAGCCTGCATTTTGACGAGGCCTCCCGCTGCAGACATCCCACAAAACTCCTACTCGTCAAAATCCGAGTCGCGGTCGTCAAAAAACGATGGCGAACCCGAATCCTGGCAAACCCGGGTCTTACGCTCCCCCGATACTTTCCCAGAGACTGGGCTCCGAACTTATGCATGCCCGGTCCCTCATCGAAACACCACCCACACCCGAGGAGTTTTTTGTCTCGCCATCGCTCGGACGTCCATTCTCCGTGCATTATTCCGCCAGACGATCCAGGGCGCTCTTGGCTGGTCCACGCCGAGAACAAATGCACACATCCGAGCGATGCCAAACTATTGCTCGCGACAACGGCCGTTACCGGCCCGTGGCCTCCGCCCCCTCAAGTAACGTCACGATTCGTACAGGCACCGTCAGGGAATGCTTGGGAACAGTCAAGAGATCTCGAGCCGCAGATACCTATTGGGATCTGCTGTGGCAGAGCGCGCGCCAGGCTGCGGATATGCAAGAGCCTGCGATGAGTAGCTACGAATAGCTAATCGCAGCGTTGGGGAGGGGGGCTGAGAGTCGGGTATAGTTTTGTTCCATCCCCTCCCTTCCCTCCTCCGTTTCTCCTCCCCCTCTCGTCGTCCTCCTCCTCGTCGTCGTCGTCGCCATCATCCTCTCCATTGCGTTGCAAAGAGCTTCACCGAAGGACAGAGAAGAATCAAGAAGGGAGCCTAAAGGAGGGAGGGGGCGAGTCAGGCGGGGCCATGCCGAAACGACCTGTTTGATTACGCGTCTGTGATTGACTTGTTTTGTGTTCTGGGAGGGTTCTGTGCGCCCATGGGCCTGGGGGGGGAAGTGGCCTCACCGTCGTAGTCCTCCCCTTCCTCTTCCTCATGCTCCTCCGCTTGTCCTCCTCCTCCTCCTCCGCACTGCGCCGCAAGGTGCCATCACTGCACCGCAGCCGGTGCACCACTCCGCTGGGGCGCCACGGGGGCGTGCGGAATGGCCCGAGACCATGAGATCCACGCGGGCCCCTTCCGACCCGGCCTCACCATAGGAAGGCACCAACTATACACCAACACCGATCCTGGCCCAGGATCGCCCTGGGCCCAGGATCGGTGTATACGCCCTCCTGCCTTGGGCAAGAAGGCATATACACCGATCACGGGCCCAGGGTGATCCTGGGCCAGGATCGGTGTTGGTGTATAGTTGGTGCCCTCCGACACCAACAGCGCACTGCGTCCCCTCTCCGAAACTACGCGGCAGCCCGAGCAGCCCCAGGGCGCCGGAGGCGCGCGCTGGCGGGAGCCGCCCGCGGAGCCCGCGGAGGCCGGCTGCCGGACGCGCGGGCGCAGCACGGCCGGCGCGCTCGGCCGCGCGAGGGCAGGACGCCGGAGAGGCGCACGGCAGCAGGTGTGTGTCCTGCTCCCGCCCAAGTGACGGGGCCCAAGGACACACGAATAAATACACACAAATGCAATCATTCCCCATATTTTCTTGTATTTTCTTGGTTTTTTGGTCTTCCCCCCACTTCCCATATTTTCCCATATTTTCCCGGGAGACGACGATTAATTGTGTCTGTGTGTTTCTTTCCCTCCTGACCAAGCTAAGCTTAGGTCGGGCATGACCCCCTACAGGCCGATGCTGGACGAAAAATAAGAGAAACGTCCGAAAAGATGCCACAGTGATCAAGAAAATGCTCCAAAGATCCCCAGGCTATTGTTCCACTATCTTTGCACCTTTCCCTCCTGTAGAGGGACACGCCCGACGTAAAGCTAAGACGGCCACGTCGTGTGTGTGTGTACAGCTTCCTGGTTCAATGCTCGTGTGGTGTCGCGCTCGGTGTTCCCAGCGAGGGTGGGGGGGCAGAAAGACAAGGGGGGAGCCGCCGGAAGTGAGGGCAGAGCGTGCGCCTGCGAGCTCCACCGTGCCCCGCGAGCGCCACAGCGTGTCTGGCTGGGGGCCTTTGCGAGACGAAGACAGCGAGAAGACGAGGGCGAGGATGACGACGACGAGGCAATTTGCCGTCTCGGGCCCAGGAGCGCCCAGACTCCTCCCAAAGCACGAATCGACAACATAAGTGCAAGTGTAATTGAACAGGTGGCTTCGGCCTGGCCCCGCATCTCTCGCCCCTCCCCCTCCCAACTCCCTCCTCCCTTCTTCTGTCCTGATGTAAGTCACCTCGCAATGAAATGAGAGGACGAGGACGACGAGAGGAGAAACACGACGACGAGGAAGAACACGACGACGACGACGATGACGACGGGGGGGAAGAGAAAGAGGAGGGATGAGGAAGGAGGAGGAGGAGGAGGAGGAGAAAGAGCAAGAAGAGGAGGAGACGGGGAAGGGGAGGCGCTCTGCCGTAGCAGATTCCTTTAGGTATGCGCGCCCTGCGTAGCAGATGCTTCTGTGAATATGCTTTCCGAGCTGTCTTTGGTCATTCCCAGGCATTCCCAGACGGCGCCGGTGGGAAACGTGATGCCACTCGCCCCCTCCCCACCCCTGGTGACGCCCTGGATCGCCCGGGAATGACAAAACGCTTTCGAGTCTGGAGCACCGCGCAAAACGGCATGAATCTCGACTCGTGCCCAATCGCGGCGACGAGTTCGCCCTGACGCCCACAAAAATCAAGAATTCGAGCTGCTGCACCCACTTTCTCCGCACCCAGCGACCGCTCAACATCTGCCCCGGCCTCGGCCATCAGAGCTGCACCCGGGCGCATGCGCACGCCGTTCGAGCCTTGATGTGCAGGACAGGTGGCGTAGAGGGAGGGAGTGGGCGGCTCGAGAAATCCGAAGCGAGGGGGCAGGGACGTTCGATGCAATGTCACGCGTACCCTCTCATGTCGAAATTGCCATGCGTGGGCAAAATCTGGTCAGACCCTCCTCCTCCTCCTCCTCCTCCTCCCTCCTCCTCCTCCTCCTCCTCCTTCTCCTCCTGCTCCAAGTTCTCCGGATGCTGATAAGGATGACGATGTCTTTTCTCAAGAAGCTTCCTCAGGAGTCAAAATTGTGTTTATCCTCCTTCTCCTTGCCCTCCCTCTCCCCGCAGCACGAAACCAGCGGGTCCCGAAGGGAGAGGGTCCCACTAAGAACTGGCTCGGGCTGAGGAGTTGGGCCTAGGGCCCGCTTCCCTCAGGACCACTCTTCTGTGGGAGAACACACACACACAAAAAAACACACACACACACACACGATGGTTGTGGGAAACACACACACACACACGACGACTGTGATTTCATCCGACCAGGTGTGTGTGTGTGTGTTTTCCCGACGACGATGGTTTCATCCGAACAGGGCACGACGCTCAGGGCATGGCACCCACACTGGAACGTCGTCGCGGTGCAGGTGCCGCTGCTCTGGGGGGCGTTACCCTCAAGACATCTCCACTGACCAGCCCGGCGAGGCATCGTGGCAATCGTCGCCGGCGATGGCCCCGCTGGTGGTGTCGCTCCTCCCTCCTGCGGGAGGGGGTGGAGGAGGGAGGGAGTAGTGCCCGCGGGAGGCGAAGTAGGGGGGCGGTAGTGGAAAAATGAAAATAAGGGTAATGAGAATAACGATAATAATCCGCCGATCCAGCGTGTGAACTACAAGGAGCCTCAGCAAGAGCTTCAGCTCTGCTTGCGGGGGGTCGCCAGGGTGGCTCTGCCGCGGAAGGGAGGAATGGGGGGGGGGTGGGGGGGCGATCCCCCATCTAGCGTTTTCTTCATGATTTGCGCATCCGGACCCCCCACGGGGAAGTGGGGGAGGGGAGGGGCCGGTCCCCCATCTGGCGTTTTCTCAATGATTTTCGCATCCCCAAGATGTTTCGGGGGGTCCCAGGGACCCCCCTCAGATCAAGCCACCACCGCCCCCAGGACCCTCCCTTCGAAACCATCCCCGGACACCCCCCTGGGACCGCTAGGCACCCCCCCAGAGGAGAAGAAAGAGGACGGGAAGAATCGAGTAGGGAGGAGGCCACAGAGCCGCGAAGATCACCGAATCCGGAGCCCCCAGGATCGGCGGCACTGGACGAAGGCCATTGAAGTAATAATACGAATAATAATAAGCATAATCATCATGATGATCCGAACAGTGATGATTAAACTAACAGTAGTTATAATAGTACCCAATATACAAATAATCAGATATAACAATGATGACACGTAGAGGGAGAAGGAGGAGGAGAAGAAGAACAAGAAGAAGCACTGACATCGTGACACCCGTGCGGCGGAAGGCCCGACACAGTTCTGCACAGTTGCACGGGGGGGGGGCCACGACGGGGGCCTCGATGGGGGCCAGCGATGGGGGGCACGGTGAGCCACCGGCTTCGGGGAGCCCGGGCTATGGGAGGCCACGACGAGCCGTCGACGCAGGGGGCCCGGACGCCCTCGTCGGAAAAGGACGGCCGCATGCCCATGTGCGTACACGTGAGGGTGGTGGTGGTGGTGGTCACTGCATAAGGGAAACAGAACCCCGAGCAGAGCAACACGCACCACGACCACGACGACGCCGACGACGACGACGACGACGGAGACGAGGTGCGCTTACGATCCGCACCGAAGCACGGATTTGGGAAAGGGCCCACCCTGCAAGGTGCCGAAACGCGCCCAGAGTCCAGCAAGGCATGAGGGTGCAAACCCGACTTGTCTGGCTGATGCTCTGGGGGGGCCAACACGTGAGGGATGAAAAAAAACGACCCTACCCTGGGATACAAGTGCGTGGTCTGTAAACCTCCTGGGAACCCCCAAAGCCTAGAGCCGCCAGGACGCGGCACATCACGCAGGGTTTACCCTGTCAGCCCACAGGAGTTTCAGCGCACGGCGCCTCGTAAACCAGGGTAGGGGCGTTCAGTCTGCCCTATTATACGTGAAGGTGTACATGTGTTAGCCAGCGTGGGCCCCGAGCAGCGTGTTTCTGGCAACATCTGTTGTGCAGGCTACGTGGTGCAATACGTGTGGCGAAAGTCTCTAAAATACAATCTACGTGGTGCAACAGATGTGGTGCCGTGTATGTAGTGCGATCTATGTAATGCAGCAACTGTTGTGCGATCTACGTGGTGCATCGTCAACCTGGAGCTGATGATCTTCGTCGTCGTGCAGCCGCTACGGCAGCAAAAGGTACTCATCGCGCCGCTGCTGACGGAGATCCTCACGCTGCTTACGGGGCCAGTGTTGATGGAGGTTGTTGACCTGAAGCGGGTGACCATCGTCGGCGTCATGGGCATCGCCGTGATGGTCGGAGCGTCACGCTGCTGGTGCTCGTGGGCCTCCTGAAGCCGAGCATCGTCGTGGTCTTCTCGTGCATCCTCGCGGCGTTCGTTTGCGTCATCCTGCTGTGCGTGCTGGCGGTGGTGCTCGTGGAGACGGATGTCGTCGGCTCCGTCGCCATCATGCCGCCCATCGGGTCCAGGAACCGAGCTGCTGGAGGTCATGCTGGCGCTGTGGATGCTAGCGGAGCCGCTGGTGCTCGCGACGGGCCGCAGGTGCTGCGGAAGGAGCGATGGCCGCTGGTCGAGGGCCGCTCGCGCCAGCGCGTGGGTGAGGACCTCGTGGAGGGGCTGCATTGCGACGTGAGCGTGCACGCGGCCACCACCTCCTCCTCCTCCTCCTCCTCCTCCTCCTCCTCCTCCTCCTCCTCCTCCTCCTCCTCAGGCGTGCTGGGCGCTGTGCAGGCTGGCTCCGACTCGCGGGATGGGGAGCTGGGCGTGCCCGCTGCGGCCCGCCTCGGCGGGGGAGGGGGGCCGGGGGGCGGAGTGGGGTGCGGAAGGATCGTGCACGCCGCTGGGCCTCGACCTCGACCTCGCCGCCTCCTCCTCCTCCTCGGCCGCGCTCGTCCGATGCTGCTGGTGGCCGCGTGCGCAGGCGTGCCGCCGGCGCCTCCCAGGATGCTGCCGTCGAGTCTCGGGAGCTCCCTTGCAGTGGTGATCTCGAGTGCGCGTTGTGCGAGCGAGAAGCGCGGTGCGGGTGGCCTTTCCCAGAGCCGCACGGCGGCACGGCGCTGCCCTGGACCGGCTCCCCTCCTCGGCCTGTCCTCCACGGGGCTGGAGATCTGGCCGCGACTTGACCTCTTTGCACGAGCTGCGCTCCGCTGCGTGCGCCCTCGTGTCTCGAATCCTGCCATGCCGTGGTGCCCACACGCATTTACCGTTCGGTGGCGTTCGCCGCCTTGCGTAGTGCCTCGCTGACCGCACGGGCTCTCCTCGTGCGTTTCGCTTGGCATTTTATCTCGCTGAGTTGTGCACGCTCGCTCGTCTCCAGTTGTATTGCCTGAAATGTGTCCCTTTTCGGCGCGCTCAGACGCTCAGGTGGTGCTCTCTCCTCCCTCCTCCTCTTCCTCGTCATCCTCCTCCCTCCTGCTCCTCTCTCTCCCCTCCTCCTCCTCCTCCTCCTCCTCCTCCTCCTCCTCCTCCTCCTCCTCCTTCTCCTACACCTCCTCCTCCTCCTCCTCCTCCTCCTCCTCCTCCTCCTCCTCCTCCTCCTCCTCCTCCTCTATTCCTTTTCCTTATACAACATTCCTCCCTGTCGCACCCCGAGGCCGGTCGAAAGGGCGGACTGGTCGTTTCACTTGAGACTCCTCGCTATATGTGATCCTGTAGCTCAGAAACTGGCAACACAGATGAAGGGCGGTCCGCTAACAAACTGTGGCTCTCGCCTTAGCGCCGCGCACACTCGTCTCAAACATTGCAAGCGTTTAACGGGTTAAGAGCGGTCGTTTTCAAAATGTGCCTCTCGCCTTAGCGCCGCGCAGGTTCGCAAAATGAATGGCAACCATTTCACAGATGGAGGGCTGGTCGCTTCCAAACTGTAGCTCTCGCCTTGGCGCCGCGTACATTCGCCATAGAATGACGCAAGGGTTTAACGGGTTGATGGCGGCTCATGATCAAAATGTGACTCTCGCCTTAGCGCCGCACACATACGTCTTAAACATTGCCAGAGCTTCACGGATTGAGGGTGGTTCCTTTTCAAAATGCGGTTCTCACATTCGCGTTAGAAATTGCAAGCGTTTCACGTATTCCCAAGGTCAACGTACCAGAACTTGCGTTTTGGAACGATTCAGGATTGTCAAGGCTCAACAGGTACGCTGATTCGAGGTGTTGAAGACCTAGGTGGAAGGGCGTTCTGGCACGATTCAGGATCGCCAAAACGCACCAGTCAGGTTGATTCGTGGCGTTGGGGTCCCGACAGTGATGCTTTGGCACGCGTCAGGATCTTCAAACGGTTGTCTCCCAACGGGGCACTTCCCTCAGTGGAAATGCATCCTTGTAGGGGCCTATGGCAGGCGAGCGCGGAGGGAGGGTTTATTCAAACATAGTTCAGAGTCTTGGGTTTACACTGGTCCTCCTCCTCCTCCTCCTCCTCATCATCATCACCACCACCACCATCACCACCACCACCACCACCACCACCACCACCACCATCATCATCATCATCATCATCATCATCATCATCATCATCATCATCATCATCATCAGCAGCATCAGCATCATCATCATCAGCATCCATCATCATCAGCATCATCATCATCAGCATCATCATCATAATCATCATCATCATCAGCATCATCATCATAATCATCATCAATCAGCAGCACAGCAGCATCATCATCATCATCATCATCATCATCATCAGTATCATCATCATTATCATCAGCAGCAGCATAATTATCATCATCATCATCATCAGCAGCATCATCATCATCAGCATCATCATCATCATCGATC